GAGAGGGAGGTCCTCCCGGAGCCAAGCCTGAGTGCTCACAGCGGGGGGAGGGGCTCCCCCACTGCTGGGGTTTTCACTGAAAGTTCGTCTGCATTGGAGGGATGGTGTTGTAGGTGGCAGATCAAGCCACTGGTTGGGATGCTGCTGGTTGGAGCCTCAGCTGCTCCACTTCCACCCCGGCTTCCTGCTAGTGCACCTGGGAGGCAGGGGTGAAGCTGGTTCCCACCACGCATGCAGGGAAGCTGGATGGAGTTTTGTGGGCATTTGGGGAGTGAGCAGCAGACAGCAGAATTCTGTCCTACTCTCTCTGCTTCCCTGCCACTCTGCCTTCACACAGGTCTTGTAAGCTCCAGGTTACTGCTTCCCTTCCCCTCAGTGTGGTGGGGGGTGAGGCGTGGAGGGGTCAGCCTGGTGGAGGTGACTCTGTGCTGCACCCACCCCTGCAGAGACCGGCTGGGCCCTGTCCCCCGAGTGCTGGCTGCCGATGCACCTGCATCTTCGCTTGGCAGCTTGGTCTGGCTGTTCTGTGCCGTCCTCACCTGCAGGTCCTCACTGACAGCCTGGCCCTTGCCCACTGTCTCCAGGGCACTGCACACAGGCCTGTGAGGACTTCAGGGTCCCCTGAGCACCTTGCACAGGGTGGAAGGGCCCTTCCTCTGCCTCCCCTCCCAAGACTCCTGCCCCCATGAAGCTGGGCAGAGATCCTCACGCCCTAAAGCCTCCCCCAATGAGGGCCAGTGCAGTGGCCGCATTGGCCCGTCCCAGCATGTCACCTCTGTCCCGTGGCCTAGCACGTCATCATGTCCGCCTGGCTCAAGGACAGGGAGAAGCCAGGAGCCTAGCATCTGACCTCTCACCTTTTTGGATCACCCCCGCACACACACACACACACACACACACCCCTCCCACCCAGAAGGGATGGCCCAATGCAGATTTCCTGCACCTTGAGACGGCTCCCCGGGGTTTGCAGTAAAACTCAATGACTTAGTCCAGCATAGCGTGCCTTGTTTGCAGCTGAAGGAGTTCACAAAAATCCATCTTTTTCCCATCCAAGTGTGGCTTTCAGAAACTGCAGGGCATAAATGGAAAAGACTTGGGCTTCTGGCGGGCTGTATGGGGCTCTGCAGAGAACAGACAGCCCTGCCCTAGCAGGGCACAGGGAAGCTGGGTTTGGGGACCCCACCCCCGGCACTCCACGAGGGTGCAGGTGTTAGTGAGTCATGGCGGCTGGCGGCTGTTGAGTCTGGCCAGGTGCAGAGACATTTCACCGCCGGCCCACTGTGTGCGTGCCCTGTGTGGGGGTCTGTAAGGAAACCGCATGCCCCCCATGGGGAAGCTCGAGGTAGCTACAGCACAGATTTGCCACAGAAGGGGTGGGAGAGAGAAAGCAGCAGAGGTGGGGGCGCCTTGGTACTCAGAACATCCACGAGAAAGCAGACCAGGATGACCGGCTTCCTGTCCCATTTCTCAGCCCCTGGGGACCTGGTGAGGGGCCCTCCAGGGGTGTCTGGAGCCGTGGGGGCCACCCCGGGCCGTGCCAACCCAGTCCGAGCAGGTGAGGCCGCGTCTCTGCCTTAAGCGTGGTCCCCGGGGGAGGGGGGGTGTAGCCACGGCAACGTTATGCCTCAAAAGGCTCAAAGAAGTAGCAAACTTTAGAAATATGCTTTAAAAGTCAAATGTTAGGGAGCAGAAAGGGAATAAGGCAACAAAGCTGTGCTTGCAAGATGGAGAAGTGTGAATTTCAAGGCACAGCCCTCGTGTGTACAACCCTTGGCAAGCACGGGCGGAGGCTGGCGTGTTGCTTCACTCACTGTTTGTTATTTAAATGACTTTCAGTGACATTTGCACCTACAGACTACGGGTAATTTAATTGTTGCTGGAATCATCGATTTCCTTCGCACTAAATGAAGTAGCGTGATTTACTCAGAAACACCACATGTCATAGGACATTTTGCAATGGCTTTACTTTGATAATAATGGTATTTTTATTGTATCGGGTCCCTCGAATATCATTTTTCAACAAGGAACAGCAGCCCTGACTCCTCGGAGTGGGGATTTTTCATTTCTCTAAAATATTACCCAGGTCAGCTGACTATGCATCCGTGGAAACGTCGCGTCTTCCGTAAAGGACTTGGCATTTGCGACTTTCTCAGCCGGAGGGGGTTAAGCCAGACAAAGTTGCTTGTCCCTGTCCACAAAGCAGAAGCCCAGGAAGTCGGGAAAAGTGATTTCCAGCCCCACCCCCGTCCAGTGGTGTGGCTGCCAGTGGTGGCCTGGCTTCACCAGAAGCGCCACTTTCTTTGATTCGTAGAACTTTGAGAAATCACACTAAAAATATCCCCGGTCTGCTCATAGGTGGCCTCTTTTTGTCTTTTTTTTTTTTAAACTTTTGTTGTTATCGTAGGATTCAGAAAGGAAAAGAAATGACGGCTGCACTGGCATCGCCAGAACTCGCCAGCTGGTGGGAGGGACAGGCCAGCTCGCGGCCATCAGAACCCGCCGCCTGCACACACAGGACCAGGGTGCCTCTGCCGTCTGCGAGGCGGGTTCACATCCCTGGAGGGCCCTGGTGCTGCTGTCCCGTCAGCTGTGCTGCTCCCAACTTGGGGCCTGCCCTGGTGAGCCTGTGGACTTCCTCCTGGGGACTTGAGGTGTCCCAGTCTTCAGTGAAACCAAGGCAGGCGGCCCCAGCCAGAGTGCTGTCTGCCATCTCCTCCCTACGCCAAGAGACAGCAGTGCGGTGGACACCTGTGGGTTCTAGCCCTGCCCCCTGGTAACTGCAGCCCACTGGGTCCACCCCACGGGGCTCGGCTTCTCTCCGGCTGCAGTCACACACCTGCCTCACTGTCCCCTGCCTCCAGTCCTTGTGCAGCTTTGGGGGCCCCCGCGTGCCCCTGTGCTGGTGTCTGGGCCAATCCCTCCCCAGGCCCTGGCCTGGGGTCTCTGCAGGTGCAGGGGCTCCGGCAGCACCTGCCCAGGAAGCGGGGGAATTGGTGCTCCAGTGAGTGGCAAGAGGCAGCTCCCTTGCCTCAGCCCGGTTCACGCATTTTCTCCCCATGCAACCCCATGACTGTGCAAATCAGAGGCCATGTGACTCGGGCCTTCAGACACGCGGCCGCTGCCTCCTGGGGATGAACTTCTACCCCTCTCTGCTGACAGTTCTGGCCTCTAGAACATCACACCTCTGGCTCTTTGGAAACGTGTCTGAGGTTGTAACCCACGGCCAGGTCACTCGGCCGCTGAGCCACTCCCCGCCTGAGTGGTGCTGTCCCTGGCTCTGTTCAGTCCTGAGACGTGAGGACAAGGTTGTCTCTGGGACTCTTGACCATGCCTGGCTGTGTGGCCAGCCCTGGCTGAATGTCCCCACACAGTCTCCCCATCCGCGCTCATCCCAGGGAGGGTTTCAAACCATTAGCTCTGCCCAGACAGGGCCAGCGTGGCCAGGATGGGCCACACGACTGGGTGCTGCTTCGTCTCAAGGCGTTTCTCAGACACAGGGTTCCATGGGCACGAGGTGGAAATACCTTCGCGTGTGCCCTGAGAAGTGTGGGGGTGAGGTCACCGAGCAGCCGAGGTCACGTTGTCTGTCAATTCTGCTTCCTTTACGGCAGAACGGAAGCATAGTTTTGTCTCCTGAATTGTTTGGGGTCAGATTAGCTCATTTGCAGCCTCACCTGGGAAACTGTGGGACACACTGGGCTGGGCATCTGGAAACAGCTTAGCAGTGAGCGGGAGCAGTGGGTGGTTGATGCTTCAGTCCCGGGGGGAGGATGAAGTGAGTCTTGTGGGGAAGCGAGCCCAGGCGACTCGCTCTCTCTGGTCTGACCTTGTCTGGGTTGGTTGGGAGAGTGGCGTGGCGGAGGCTGATCCCGCAGGGAGAGAAGCCGAGTTATTCCAACTCCAGATGCGTTCACGTGCGCCACGGTAATAGTAACGCTCACTGTAAGATGCGAACAACACTAATGATCGCATTCATTAGTAAAATGATCTTTGCTGGACTAACATTAGCAGTTATCGAATTGCAGGCGATAATAGGAATGTGAAATTAATTTCATTGAAGGAATTGAAGAATGATTTATTTACAGTGAATACCCATTTTCTGTGAAACTTCAATGACTCCATTTAAAAATATAGCACTATTTTCTTCTTAGAATGTGCAGCTCAAAACAGCAGTTTGAAATCCCATTCCTTTATGGGTTATTTATTTTTTAAAGATTTAATTGTTTATTTTAAAGGCAGAGTTACAGAGAGGCAGAGAGAGAGAGAGAGAGAGAGAGAGAGAGAGTTCTTCCAACTGCTGGTTCACTCCCCAGTTGACCGCTAAGGCTGGAGCTGCACCAATCTGAAGCCAGAAGCCAGGAGCCAGGAGCTTCCTCTGCGTCTCCCACATGGGTACAGGGGCCCAAAGACTTGGGTCATCTTCTACTGCTTTCCCAGGCAATAGCAGAGAGCTGGATTGGAAGTGGAGCAGCCGGGACTTGAACTGGCACCCATATGGGATGCCGGCACTGTAGGCGGCAGCTTTACCAGTTATGCCACAGCACCGGCTCCTCTGGGTTATTTTTTATGGCATGTGTTCTTTTTATCTCCATCAGAGGACACAGAGTCTTTGCTTCAGCTCCCACATGAGGCTATTTTGCTAAAGTGGGAGAAAAGGCGGTTTAGGTCACGTGAGTTTCCTCTACTCAGATTGGCTTAATGGCATCACAGTCACTTTTGACGTTCATTAGGTGTAACTTACAAAGGGAGAGGTGAGCCAATCTAAGTGCAGAGCAGGCTGGGTTTCATCTATCCCTCCGCGGTGTGGCCACACCCCAGATGAAGATGAGAACATTCTAGCACCCCAGGAAGCCCCCGCCCCTCCCAGTCAATACTGGCCCCACTCTCCAGCTTAGCTTTTCCAGAGTGGGGTTGATCTAGATGCAGCCACAGCACGTGGAAGCCTTCGGGTCCGGCTCCCTCCCCTCCAAGGCATTCCTGAGACCCTTCCTTGCCTCGTTGTGCGTCCACAGCCATTGAGGATTCTATAGTCAACTGGTTCGTTCCAACAAAATCCAGGCCGGTAAATGCTGTAGAGTCAGGAGACGCCCAGCTAGTCCAATTTAGGAGCACTGTCTGTGGACCCCGATGAAGGGTGCTGCGCTCACGACTTCCGGGGCTGTGGGCAGGTGAATGATGAGCCCTGGGGTTATGACCGTGACACTGAGAGCGCAGCATCAAGGGCGCGTCGTGTCAGTCCTCTCACTTTAAGCTCTGCAACTGTGCCTTGCACTGTGTTTCCCATCCAGCTTCCCTTCAAAATGAGTTCCAAGCTCTGGCAGCAAAACCCAACTTTCATTTCCTGCTACAAGCACACCGTGGTTGCAGGCCCCTTGTTTCAACTCACCACACATGCATGCACACGCACATACGTGCACAGCACACATACATCATACGTACAGGCACATGCAAAGATGTCTGTGTGCACAGAAAGACACACATGCGTGCAGAAAGACCCTGCCCTGTGCATGGATGTCACTCTATGTCACCTCAAAGTGCTTATCATGTCACTGGGGTGCTCTCGGGGGCGTGAGCTCCTGCAGCCTCCCTCCTGTGTTGATTTATTAATTTGCCAGCCGAGTGGGAAGTTGTCCCCCTTTCTTATGCATTGTTTTTTACAGAATTGAGCCGATTAGCTAACTAAACAGTGCCCTGAAAATTCCCCCTCAAGTCAAAGTGCTAACCCCACTTACATTTTTGCTGAAGTAGCCCGGCTGCCTCGTCCCCTGGAGCCTTTCCACGTCACATTTCCACGTCCCAGGTGAGCAATCGCAGGGCTTCAAAACCCAGCGCCGCGCTCATTTGCAGAGGGAGGTGCGTGGGCCAGGCGCTCGCTCCACACTGAGCAGGAGCTCTTGAAAGAGCTGCCCTCCGAGCATTTGCTACAACCCAAGACTGTTCAGAAACGCAAGGTGCAGTTCAAACATCTACCTGGCGGGTTGACGAGCTTGAAGGGACAACGACTCCCACATGTGTCCCCGGAATTGGCCCCCGCCGGGGGAGATGCTGCCATGGTGAAAAACTATATCTATTGCAAAATAAAGCAAGGCCCTATTTGATATACAGCTTTCCCAACTCACGTTCATAACAAAAATCAGAGCGAGACAAGCGACCCTCCCCGAGGAGCGCATGGCGCCGAAGGCTCTGTCCCGGGGTTCGGTGGAAGGTTTATCCTGAAAGGCATCCTTTCAGAAGGCTCCCAGAAAGACAGCCAGAACCCAGCTGGGGGGGTGCCGACTTCCTGGGGAATCCTGGGGTACATGGTCAGACAAGCAGCGATGCACGTGGTGCTCTGAGAGCAGGGGTCTGACAAAGGAGGGAGCAGGTGCACCTGCGCCCTTGCACCTGCTTGCTCCAGAGGCCCTGCCGTGGCTTGCTCCTCCTATAAGGGGCTCTCTGTCAGGTGTGTTTTGCTTCCTGTAGTACCATTTCCATTTCACAAGAACCCTGGGAAGACAGAGGGACATGAATACCCCCAGAACCTGTGACCATGGTTCTTTGGAAGCAGGGTCTTTGCAGATGTAATTTAGAGAGAAAACACTCTGAATTTTGGCTGGGCCCTAAGTCTGATCTCATAAGAGACGTAGTACATACCGGAGACACAGAGACCCCCGGAGAGGAAGGCCAGGCAGCGACAGAGGCAGAGATGCGATTGAAGCAGCTCTGAGCCAGGGGGCACCAGGATGGCCAGACATCACCTGAAGCCAGGAAAGAGAGATGGGATGATGACCCCTCTAAGCTTCCAAAAGAAGCCAGTCTTGCTGAAACATTGGCTTTGGACTTCCAGCCTTCAGAACTGGAGCGACTAAAGCCCCCAAGTTCATGCAATTTGTTATGCAACTGCAGGAATCGAGGGCACTGAGCAGCCCAGACCTGGGAGACAGCTGAGGCTTCCCAGCCTGACTGGGAGCCAAGCCCCCGGGGAGAGGGAACCCGCCCCAGCCCCACTGTCCACACCTGTGCAGCGCTCATCCTCATGAAGATTCAAGTGTGCCCGGGGCGACAGGCGGCAGAGGGAAGCAGGCTGGGGCTGGACCTCAGCAGGGCCAGACTGCAAGCTGCCAGCTCTGGAGCAGCTTCGGGTCGCTGGAGGAGAGGGAGGGGGCCCAGGGCACGCTCGCCGAGGGGGCTAAACAGGCATCGCGCCAAGAATCGTCCACGACTCACCGTGCTTTATGCTCACAGCAGCCCCAACAGCCGTGCTTCTCTGCTCCGTGTTGGAAAGGCGGGAGCTGAGCTGGGACAGGGAAATCAGCAGCTCAGACCCGTGGGCCAGAGGCGGGGCAGGCCCGTGACCTGGAGGGCCACCTCCACCGCGGCCGGGAGCTCAGAGCCCAGGGTGCCCCTGTGCGGCTTCACTGCACTGGCCAGTGTCCTCTGGAGCGGGCGCGAATGCCCAGCTGGAGCGGTGGGGAGTCTGCCATGAGCTTCCCTGGGCTGTGGAGTGTGAAGGGTGAGGGCAAAGCGAGCCACGTGGAAATGCGGCTCCGCTGAGAGCCGGGGAGTGAGCAGCCCTCCGGTTGCTTCTAATGACGCCCAAACAAGCAGTGCTGGCAAATGAATCCCCTCTGATCCGGGAAACGTGCCCAGGCAGGGGGAAAGGTCACTCAACCCCGCCTCGAAAAAGAACTCGAAATGAAACCCTGGGCGACGCTGGCGAGTT